AGAGGAGGCGGTTAGTGAACATGAAGGAGTTGAAGATGATAGGGCGGTGATGGGGGATGTGGATGGACAGGGCTGTTTTGCCTTGCTCACAGATCAGATGAGCCGCACTGTTTGCTGAGAAGTGAATGCGTTCAAAGGAGGAATGAGACAAGACTGCAAGTGGTAGTCCACGGTGTTGTCGAGCGGTCAGTCATGAGTGGGTGAGACGTGTTGGACACAGAGTATTGCGAAATGGTGGCATCGCGAAGGTTGGCGGGAGGTGTTTAAGAGGTGCATGTCGCAGTACACCAGTGACACGATCAGTGGCAACCAGGGTGAGGGAAGGGAAGCGATGGACTGCAGCTGAGAGGCTCAACGTAAATTGTTGGAGTGTTGGGTGGGTGATTGAGTTGACGCGTAGGTGAGTGGGAGTGAATGAGTGTGTGGGTGGGTGAGTGGATGGGGGAAGGGATGAATGAAAGCGATGGAAGCGATGAATGTGGATAGATACGTGTTCGTAATGGCGGACACTACTCAGGTTAGGCCTCAACTGCTGTAGCAGCTGTAGTCGTGACTCACTCAAGTGTCTTAACGCTCTGCTCTTTCCACCTACTCACGCATTCACCCACCCTCCTGCTCCTCCTCCTCCTTCTCCTTCCTCTTCTACTTGCACGCCCGCACGATGCATGAAATTGAACCAACTGGTTGCACGTGCTGCATCTCGCTTCCCTCGACCTCAAGGTCGCCTTTACTGTGGGTAGTTTGTACAACAGACGTGGCTGTTCGCATCCGCCTTCTTTTTTCCAACAAGTGAAAAGACGTGGTCCACTTCTTTCATTTCACATGCATCCCGCCTCACCGTCATCACCTCCTCCACCTTCGCCTCCTCCTCCTCCTCCTCCTCCTCGCCCTCCTCGTACGCCGCCGCCTCCACCTCCGTCTTGACCTACGCTTCTGCCACTGCCTCTGCCGCCTCCTCTCGTTGCCTTGTTTTTTACCTGAGGTTTACACGAATGTCCTCTCAGCGCAAACTCTCCGCCCGTGAACATGCCCACATGTGTTAAATTTTATGCACTAACAGCAAAAAAAGGAGCGACGGAGCCGCTTGTGGCCCTGTCTCGCCTTCTCCTCCTCCTCCTCCTTATTTACTTTCACAGCATTTGTGTGTGTGTGTGTGCGGAACAACATGTACAACTGTTTTTCTCCTCCTCAACTCCCTCAATTAGCAACGTGATGCTGCCAAACGGTGCGCCTCTCCATCCGAATTCACTGTGCAATTGTCACTTCGCTTCACACATCCGCGCAACCTACATCAAGAACTCCCGACTCCACCTCACCCATTATCGCAACTCTGCATTACACAATTGGGTGTGGCAACGTCTCCCTACCATCTCAAGATGGGAGGAGAGACGATGTCTAGCCCCACTCTGGAAGTGGTAATGCGCGTAGCCAACTGAGGAAGTATTCCTCGAGCATCCAATCCCGCGCTTACTGCTTTCAAGCAGAGAATGCGTCCACCCACCTCCAAATGCACGCCATTCCCCTTATCACTCAGTAATGTCGAGGTTATGCCCCAAATTCTGTTGGCACTACGGATGAAGCAGTAGGACTGGTGGTGCAACCAAACACCTAAGGTGCAAACGTATTCCCATCTGACGGGGTGGGAAGCATTGGAGCATTGTCGATGGCATGGCGATCGGTCGACGACAATCATTGCCACTGTATTGACCCTTGCGCATGCGTTGAGGCGATGAAGGAGGGTGTGATGAGCTAGGGCCTCCTCTTCCCTCCTCCTCGCTACCTTACTCGTGGCTTTGGAATGCGGTCTAGTGGTGCCAGCTAAGGTTGTGCGTCCACGTTCCACCACCTTCCTCTCACCTCCTACCATTGAAGTCGACCTGTGCACTGATCTCCGCTCTGTCCGTCTGGGAGGTGGTGATTTCACGGTAAAGGCTGTCACATCCACACTACCAACCACCTCGTCTCAATTGCACCATCTCTCTCTGGTGCATTGGTATCACCACCTCCTCTTGCACCTCTCCACCACAGCGCATGACAACCATGCCACACGACTGCAGCTTTGAGGTGGTAGCCCTCTTGATCACGCGCACCCTCCACTCCTCGCAGTCAAGTAAGCCAATTGCATCACAACTTATCGCAGGATTCCCGAGACTTCCCACCAGGTAGAAGGAGGCATGCAGTTGGACTGAATGTATGTCTTCCGGGAGAAGGGTAGATGGATTAAGCCTCAGCCTGAGCCTCGTGCGAAGGTCTGCCCACGCCTTCAACCACCAGACAATCACCGATGCAAACGCCAGACATGTGGTGATCACATTAACAAAGCACTACACCTAGCACATCAACTCTCCGCCACCTCACATCTGCACCACAATCCATTGCAGGTGAGCGGAAGGCACAAGCAGATGACTCCAAGCACTCACCTTCCTATCACCCTCCGAATTACCGACTGCACCTCCCCTCCACTCACCACCCCTACAGACGTTGACAACCCACTCACACATGCCCTGCCCGTGTCATTCGTGCTGCCATATTCCTGCTATTGTGTCATATACATTACTCACCACTCATCTTGTGTCAGCAGTGGGGTGTGATGTGGTGCAACAACTTCATGCGTCAACTGACTGACAGAGAATCGACGAGGTAGCAGTGGAACAGAAAGGCAACAAGATGCCTTTTCCTGCATTCACACGTTCTTCCTTCCCCTTCCAGCGTGAAGGTGGAGCCTTGCTGGCAACATTGCGCCAATTGTGCTTATGCATCAAAGCAAAAGGCGACGCACATGCAGTAAATTGACCGACTGCCACCATCTCCATCCTCCTCCTCCTCCTCCTCCTCCTACTCCTAATACCCATCCCATCAACATCATCCTCATCCACCAGTGCAGCATCGCAAGGTAGGTGGAAGGCGGTGCTCACCACGCCAACTGACGTCCATACTACCACCATTTAAATACGTTAAGTAGCAACCCGCCCCCCTCACCACACCTTCGTCCTCCTCATCGTCATCCTCTACATGGCAATGGAAATGATGTGAAGGGATGCGCACATTCACACCATTTCATCCATACCCATTCAACTGCACCTCGTGCTTGCCATGCCTCATTGACGCCGACATCTACTGGTCCACATCCTTATTGGCATGCGAGTGTTTGAGTGCATTCCTCTCTATCGCATTGT